TGTGTGTGTGTGTGTGTGTGTGTGTGTGTGTGTGTGTGTGTGTGTGTGTAAATCCTGAACTAAAAAGAAGGTGGAGGTCCTAGACTAACTGCATCAAGGAGTGTAGTCGTGGTTATAGTAGCAGAAGTTCTAACCAAAGGGAAAGTATAGATAAAGTATAGATAAGTATAGAGTCATAACCTGAGTAAATGCTGCTATTAACCCAAAGAAGTAGGAAAATGAATCTAATCTTCTGCAGCTTCACTGTCTCCATCATCTCTGAACTTTTAAGAATATGTCTAGTCAAAATCTTAGGAACTTTACTGTAGTTTTCAGGTTCTCTACATAATTTATATTTATAAAAATAATAGTTTAGTTACTAATTAAGTTGTTTCATTAGACTGGCATTAGAACTTGAAATGGAGAATTTTTAATATTTATTTACCTTGTTTGTTAATCCCTATAATCTATAACTCTGAGGTATTGAGTTATAAAATGGATTGTTCAAATATACTAGGACATAGAGTTTTGAGTATTTTAGTTTTTACTGTAGCAATGTAGAAACCTTAAAATATTTTCCTGAAATGTATTAATAAGTTTCATGTTTATAAAATTCAAGACTTTGATGTTTCTTCCTTGTTTTAGGCTCCAGTATAATGCCTGCCGCTGGAACAATGTATCTGACCACGTCAACTGGATACCCTTACACTTACCACAACGGCGTGGCTTACTTCCATACTCCAGAGGTCACTTCTGTCCCACCGTCTTGGCCTGTAAGGGATTTTCATTTTAGAAGAGTTTCTACCAAATATGTTTAAATACTTGTTTTTATTCTTAAGTATTTGATTAATTTTCCGTATTTATGTATTGTTTGTGCCAGCTAGTGGATATGGATGTCAGAGAACAATTCAGGAGCTGGTTCTCTGCTTCCACCACATTGGGCCTGGGAGCCCAATCTGCTGAACCGTCTCCTTAGCCCTGATTCTGAGACAGTTAAAGCGCAAACAAATACAAATATAGTTATGCCCCTACTGCCCAAATTTAACAAATATTAATTTAAGTTCTTTCCAAAGAGGAAATAAAATATGGCAATTTTAGGTAGTTTCCTTATTTCTATACCTTTTATCCTTTCTTCAGAATATCTTCTTAATTTTCTGTATTTTTATTACAAATAAATATAGGGAGCTCCTTGGGGAGTTTTTAAACACTGTATCAGTAATCTGGCTTTTAACTTAAATATTATATTTTTGAGAGCTAAGCTATTGACACTTTGTGGACAATACTATTTTAACCCTTAGAGGCTAGGTAGGTGTCTCAGCGGTTCAGAGCACTAACTGCTCCTCCAGAAGACCTGGGTTCAATTCCCAGCACCCATCTGGCAGCTCACACTGTAACTCCAATTCGAAGGGACCCCATACACATAAAAAAGTAGCAAAACTATTTCAACCATTATATATTTGTTCACTTATTTTAATATATTATAATATTCAATTTTTGGTATACTATCATTTTTATATTCTTCTAGTCATAGACATTTTCAGTTTTTCTTTACAATCAAGGCTCTATGGAGCAGCCAGATCTTGTTTGTATGTAAGCTCTTCTAAGACAGTGATTTTCAAAGTTTTGTTTACATCCCTCTAGACTGCTTTTGAAAAACTGAATTTATTCATTTATATTTGAAATTCAATCTAAATTTGAATGGTACAGGCATGTCATATATTTTAGATTTGCCTTAACTAGATCTTAATAATTTGTACCCGTATATTTGGCTTTATTTAATAATTGACTAAGCAAATAAATGGAACACGACAAGACTGTTCTGAACTTATTGTTGAACTCAAACAGATAAATTAATATGAATCCCTGGGAAACTTACTAGTTTAAGATTTTTAAATACTTGAAATAAGGTACTATTTTACCTTTAATTTTTGATATGCAAGTACTTTTGGCTTTGTTTTTCCTATTTTTTCATGACATTGCCTTGTTGAATTGTGTATTTATGCCTGGTTGGTGTTTTCAATCCAAAGAAAGCATTATAACAACATCTACAGTGAATAAGAGGCTTGCCTTTTAAGAAAAGAGTGCTAGAAAGGGAATTTTATTAAGAAAAAGATAGAATACAGATGCATTCAGTCAAACAAGGGCTTTATGATCTGGAACCTTGTAGACGTACTCACTGGTTATGCCCGTCTATCACTATAAAATGCTTGTGGTCCTCTTAATATTAAGCTAGAATATATATGCACAGAATCAGAGTTTCACATTGATAAAATAGATGTGTCTTTTACTCCATGCTGACTCGTAACTAAAAAGAATTATACTTTTTTATGCTTTATTCAGGCTCCAATTTTCCCAGTATGGGCCAGCTCTTAAAAATAGCCAGCTTTGGCTGTGTGGAGGGACTTGTCTCAAAAAAATCAAAAACAATCTTTGGGGTTAAAGAGATGACTTGGTAGGATTGGGTTGTGTCCTGTTCTGGCAGAGGACCCATGTGGCAGCTCACAGCACCCACCACTCCAGCTATAGGGAATCCAGCACCTCTTTGGTCTGAGGGCCAAGTGGTCAAGCCTGTAGAATGGGCCTGGGTTTCTAGAGAAGCTGTGGAAAATGTCTTCCCTTGTCTCAGCTGGCGTAGTCATCGGTAGTATACATACATACCTACTAGTGGTGCTCTGGGAAGGCTAGGAAAATAGAATGTAATTGCCATAACCAATGAGTAAAACTACAAGATTTCAGATCAGCAGTCCATAATGCTTCAGTTTCTCGGATAACCTTGACCAGTAACTCAGAAGGTCATGACTGGGTGTCTGGGTTTCTGTTAGATGGGCTGTGGCTCTTGGAGGGAGCATTGTCAGCTCAGATGGGACATGTCATTAGTATGTGGGGTGAGGGGTGTGTGGGTGCGTGTATCTATGTATGTACTAATTTATATGTGTTACAGGTATTTTTAGGTAATTACTACTATGGCTTTTTTTTATGGCTTTTTCAGATATTCTCACTGTTATTTTACCCTTCTTCATTTCTCTCGCCTCCCTAATTAGAGTTCTCCCCACCCACTTTTACTCTCTGAACCTTCAAAAGTGTACCCTGATATTCCCCCTCTCTGGTGCCCGCCTTCACCCCACCCCAGCAATTGTCTCTTTTCACTTTCCTGGTTTCTGCAGTTAGTCCAGGTTCTATACCCGCGTCTGAACCAGGAACCACAGATAAGGAGAACATGTGGTCGCTGTCTTCCTGGATCTGGATTATCTTACTCCATTTACCTGCAGAGTTCATGATTCTATTCTCTTTACAGCTGAATAGTATTCCGTAGTACCACGTTTTCATTCTGCGCTTGTCAGTTTCTTGGCTGTAGCGACTAGAGCAGCAATGGACGTGACGGAGCGGTTATCTGGGGAGCAGGCTGTCGGGTCCTGTGGACATAAGACGAGGAAGGAATGGGTCTAGCTGGGGCCTATGATAGATCTGTTTTCAGCTTTCTGAGAGTTCTCCACACTGATTCCAATAGTGCTGCAGCACTGTGTGGCCCCACCAGCAGCGAATGAGGACTCCCCTTTCTTCACATCCCTCCAGCTTCTGTAGTAGGTCATTTGGTTGTTTGCTGTTCTCATAAGATAGTTGTTTTGATTTGTATTTTCTGTAATTACAGATGGTGAAATTTTTTGTGATATTTCTTGGCCATTTTTTTTCTTCCTTTGAGAAATCTGTGTTGAAGTCCCAGGCCCAATTCTTAAGTGGGTCATTTTTTTAACTTGACTTTTAGTTCTTTGTTTATTCTGGATATTAATCCTCTGTCCTGTGTATACCTGGCAAAGCCTCATTCTGTGGACTCCCTCTTCACCTCGTTGATTGTTTCCTTAGCTGAGCCAACACTTTAGTGAATTGTTAGTCATAGTTGTTGGACGGATGGAGTCCTATTCATAGAGTCCTTTCCTGCGGCTGTGTGCAGTGTCTGTGTTCATTCTAGAAATTACAGGGTTTCAGGTTTCACACTTAGGTTTTTGGTCAGTTTGTAGTTAGTTTGTGCAAGGTGATAGACGCGGGGCTAATTTCATCCTTCACTCTTTGTTGAAGATGCGTTCTTTTCTCCAGAGTAGGTTTCTGACATCTGTGCCGACTGTTAAATGCTTGGATCTTTGGTGTTGTTCTCTTGGTTTATATTTCTGGTTTGTGACAATACCATATTGTTTTTATTACTATGACCTTGTAATATATCTTGATATCTAGAATGGATTGCTCCAGTATCGTTCTTTTTGCTCTGGAGATTTTTGACTACCGGGGGTCTTTTATGGTTTCATATGAATTTTAAGATAGCTATTTCTATGTCTGTGAAAAATGAGATGAAAATTTCAATTGGGATTGTATTGAATCTGTAAATGGATTTTGGTAACATGGTCATTTTCACAATCTTACGAGTCCATTAGTCTGATGTCAATTCATTTTCTAGTATCTTCATCTTTCTCTGCAGAGGTTTAAAGTTTTCTTTTTTATTTATAGTTTTACATTTCTGTTGATTTTATTGAGCTCTACATTTTTCTCTGCTCCTTTCCCTCCCTCTCCCCTCCTCTTCAGTCCTCTCTTATGGTTTTCGTGATCCCAATTTACTCAGGAGATCTTGTCGTTTAATACTTCCAATGTAGATTAGATCCATGCATGTCTCTCTTTGGGTCTTCTTTGTTGTCTAAGTTCTCTGGGAATGTGAATTGTAGGCTGATTTTCTTTACTTTATGTTATGTCTAAAAGCCACTTATGAGTGCGTACATACGATATTTGTCTTTCTGGGTCTGGGTTACCTCAGTCAATATGATGTTTTCTAGATCCATCCATTGGCCTGCAAATTTCAATATGTCATTTTTTTTCTGCTGTGTAGTACGCCATTGTGTAGATGTACCACATTTTCCTTATAATCCAATTTTAAAAAATGGAGTACAGACCTAAAGAAAAAATTCTCAACAGAGGAATCTACAATTGCTGAAAGACACTTAAGGAAATGCTCAACATCCTTAGTCATCAGAAAAATGCAAATCAAAACAACTCTGAGATTCCATCTTATACCTGTAAGAATGACCAAGTCAAAAACACTGATGACAACTTATGCTGGAGAGGATGTGGGGTAAAGGGAACACTTCTGCATTGCTGGTGGGAGTGCAAGCTGTTATAACCCCTTTGGATGTCTCATAGGTTTATATTTTCATAACTTTTGGAAGTATTAAGTTTCCGATTTAAAGAAACATCGCTGGTGTTTGTTTTAGTATTGCTATGGAAAACTATTTTAATAAATAAATTTAAATAAAGTTGGTAATATACCATAAGAGGAAGAAAATATAACATTTTAATCAATAATAAAAAGTTAATTGAGCTTAGGTAATAATTGAAGATCAAATTTTACTGTAATTTAAAGAGTTCTTCCTAAAGTAAACTTTGTTTCCTCCCACAGTCACGGTCCATATCTAGTTCTCCCGTGATGGTAGCTCAGCCGGTTTATCAGCAGCCTGCATATCACTACCAGGTAGGCACTGCGGTCACTAGAACCTCTGGGCTGAGGAGCCAGGGGAGATGGCTCAAGGGGAAAACACTTATTGTTACATGTGGCTGTAACCCGTGTGCAGGGGCAGGGGCAGCAGCAGGTCTCTGAGCTCACTTGCCAGCCAGCCGAACTGTTAGAGAGGCCCTGTCTCAAGGAGTGGGGGAGCAAGAGGACGATACCTGCCCCAGGTCAGCCTGCAGCTTCCTCATGTGTGCACACTCACGGACACGCACATACACTCTCTGTGCTGAGGAAAATAGCTCCAGGTTGCTTAGCATGTAGGAGGGACAAGATTGGATCCCAAGCACAGTGTTTTTAAGAGTCCAGTATCTTTAAGTCCTTTGAGGTATTTCATGCTTTCCTTTTATATGCAAAGACTAATTTGGGAAAGAGAGTTAAGTCTTGAGAGAGGACCTTTCACAAACGTAATGAATTCAGCTCTCTGCTGTTTGAAATTTATTCTGAAATGCCTTTAATAGGCTGGGACGTGGCACAGTGGGAGAATGTTTTTCATAGCATCTGGAGTGCCCTGGGTTCCTTTTCCAGCCCCACAGAAACGGCTTTAGCAGTAATTCATAAACCCAGGTACAGGTATTGTGCTTTTAATGTTACTTTGAATGTGTGATTGTTAGAGTTAATCAAGTGTGTTTTGAAATAAGCAGTATATTATGCTGTGTTAACTATTATGTTCACCTCCTTTAGTTAGCCAGCATTCATTCTTAGTTCTCATGGGAGATTAGCAATAAGAACTATGCTGTAATGTCAGCTCTTTTAATTTTTGGCAGGATAAACAATGACTTCTTTAAAGCATTAGCAAAATATAGCCTTATTTATTTATGTAATATCTGTGGTTGCCTTTGCTTTCAAAGGTTGTGTAGTTCTAACAGAATCTTATGGCCTGCATGCACATTTTAAAACATTTACTCTAGCCTTTCTTTCAAAAGTTTTTGTCAGCCTATGATCTATAACATTTGCACATAAAATCAAATTTTAATACTTGTGAAGTAGTAGAAGAGCTTTCTGTTTCTGTCCCTGTTTTTTTTTCTTTTTTGACTTTAAAAATACACCCATATGAAATGTGGCAGAGTTAGGAGTGAAATTCAGTGGTAGAATTCTTGCTCAGCATGGGTAAGGCCGTGGATTTTACTCCTAGCCAAGTGAAAAGAAGACAAAGGAAAGAAAGGCGGGTGTTGTTACCTAGTTCATAGAGTGATAACCTGGTGTGCGTAATGCCCTGGTTGTGTCCTCAGCACCACTAAAAGTGGAGTGGGGGTGGAGACAGGAGATCAGAGTCAAGGTCTCTCTTGACTGTACAGACATTGGAGGCCAGGAGAGGAAACCAGATCCCCTAGAACTGCAGTTACCGACTGTGTGCTGGAAACAGAGCCTGGGGCCTCTAGAAGAACAGTAAACACTGAGCCATCTCTCCATCCCACTAATGTTAGACTTCATTTTTGTATTTTTAATTAATCTTATTTTTAATAAACTAAGGTATTTTCTTCACTTATGAAAGATAAAAGTAACTTAATGGCATTTCTTTAAAATATATTGATAATATGACTTTCCTAAGCCATAGGATTTCAGCTGAGACTAAAGACAGATCATTAGACACCACTCCACTTAAAATAAATGGCCCAAGTCCTGTGAAACTGCTTCCTAAACCCTTAGTCCATTGCCTGCCTAGATGACGTTAGAGGAGTGTGAGCCTAACGGAGATTTGTTAGCGTGCTGAGGCACATCCACGTCTCTTCAGCCAAGTGTGGGGGACTCAGAGAGTGTCTGCTGGAACCGGGGATGTTGACACTTTGGAACTTGAACTCCTAAGAAACACCAAGAGAGCATGTTGACGGAGCCAGGGAAGAGGTCTGTAGTAGGCCTCCGCTACAGCAGAGGTTCATGTTTCCTCAAAACAAGCTGTAGCCTGTCAAAAGAAGTATGGATGACCTCAGCTAAGAATCTGTACAAAAGAATGTGACCCTACAATCAGAAGTTCCTAACAGGAGTATCATCAGAGACTCTAGTAACGCTCAATACCAGACAGCTGGTATTTGGACTCTGCCAAACTCCAAAGCAGTGATTTGCTCTCAGTAAAACCCAGGAACAAGGAAAAACAACATAGTGTTTTAAAGTATCAGACGTGAGAAAGAATAAAGTTGGATTTTGCAGCTCCTTTATTAATTATTTATATCGCTGTATTATTAATAATAGCAATAATATTAATTACTGACTTACATTAGAAACTATAATTTAAGTTTATACGTTGACTCTGACTTTGACACTAATTACAAGACTAAAGTGAAGCCGGATTGTCTCCCCAGGCTCTGTTCTTCAGAGCAGATAATCCACGGCTGAGTAATCAGGGCATTGGCCTCTGATTACTGTTCTTCACATTGTAGGCACTTACTCCATTTGTCTAACAAAGCCACATATTAATCAGAGACTTTTATCCTATGTTTTTAAAATCTCATATATAGAACAGATTTTAATTCTCTTAGTCATCATTATAATATAGTGATGTAATCTTTTGGAAGTTAAAGTGGTCAGCATTGTACAGTGATTAGGTTTAGAAAATAGATCTAAAGGTTTGTAATCTTACTCCCTCCTCTCTGTCTCTCTGTTGTCTCTCACTCCTCCCTCTCTCCTCCTCTCCTTGCCCCCTTCAGTAATGAAGACCTTCTAAAAATGAATAAAAGTAAAACACTTGGTAATACAAGATCATTAACTTTATTTAGATCAAATTTGCATGCTATATTGCTCAGTCATTGAAAGTATACAATTGAGTAGTTTGTACTAAACACAAAATTGACATATAGTCATACCAATATTATAGAATACTTAACCATTCCCTTTTAAGAAAAACTGTAACCATTAGCAGACATACCTTTTTATTCCTATCCAAACCCTAATCAAGCAGTATTTTTTTTTTTTAACCTTTCTTGGACTTTCCTTCTCTGGGCGTTTTTCCTTATAAAAAGAGCCATCCAACAATTTTCCATGATTGAGATAATTCACTTAGCAAGTTTTTTCAGTGCTGTGCACCAGTGGTTCTTTCTGGAGTAAAACCTGTCCTGTGTGGTGTAACCAGTGTTGATCCAGTCGGCAGATGGTGGGCGTTTAGATTGTCTCTGCCTTTTTACTGCTCTGAAGAACGCTTTAATGAAAATTGGTGTCAAGTCTGTTGTTGTTTCTCTGGCTGTTGTAGATCTCAAAATGTTGGCCAGGCTAGCTTTGAACTCACAGAGATCCATCTGCCTCTGCCCTCCCGGGACCCAACTGCTGGTATTAAAGGCTAAGCCACCGTTCCCAGGTAGTGAAGTTTTTATGTGGATATATGTTTTCATTTCTCCTGGAGTGCATTCGATAGGTCACATGATAATTCTGTGTGTTGATATTTTAAGGAAGGTTCGCAGTTTTTCTAAAGGACCACAAGCACCATCTTCAGACTCCACCATCAGATGAAAGACTGCAGTTGTTCCACCCCTGCTGTGTTTTGGTTGTAGCCATAATGGGTACCAAATGGTATCACACTGTGGTATTGAGACGTAGTTCTCTAAGGACTAGTGATATCAGGCATCTTTTCACTATTGACTATTGACATACACATAGGCTATTTTGGAGGAAATTTTGCTCACATCATTTGTCTATTTTTTATCAGCGTTGTAGACACTCTTTAAGGAGACTGAGACGGCAGACTACCCCAGGCCTTACTAGCGCCTGCCAGAAATAAACCAGGAGCAGCCGAGAACCAGCTGCCCTCTGGTGATGGTGAGAAGCTGCTGAGGTTTCAGTGGCCGCCAAAACCATGTTTGTGAAGGAGGAAACTTGGTCTTTTCTTCTTCCTATTTAGATCCATTAGGCCTCTCTCAGGGTCCTCTTTGTTGCCTAGGTTCTCTGAGGTTCTAGACTGTATACTGATTTTCTTTATGTCTAAAGCCACTGATGAGTGAATACATATTGTATTTGTCTTTCTAGGTCTGGGTTACCTCACTGAATATGATGTTTTCTAGATCTATCCATTTGCCTGCAAATTTCAAGATGTCATTTTTTTTTTTACTGCTGAGTAGTACTCCATTGTGTAAATGTATCACCTTTTCCTTATCCAGTCTTCAGTTGAGGGGCATCTAGGTTGTTTCCAGATTCTGGCTATTACAAATAATGCTGTATGAACACAGTTGAGTACATGTCCTTGTGGTACAATTGAGCATCCTTTGGGTATATACCCAAAAGTGGTATTGCTGAGTCTTGAGGTCAGTTTCCTAATTTTTCTGAGAAATTGCCATACTGATTTCCAAAGCAGCTGTGCCAGTTTATGGAAAGTGAACCAAAGGCAGAGAATGCCCACAGCCTACAGCATACAGCTGGGGAGGCTGGGGACTGAGAGCTGCAGAAAACACAAGTAGTGCTCTCCGCTGTGAACAGACAGGACCTTAGAGAGAACTGCTGGAAGTGGACGGTGAGAGGGACATCACACCTCAGCTGACCGACTGGGCAGTAGCATCACAGAGGGAAGTGTGTGGTCTCAGAGCACAGTTACCATAGGAAATAGTTCAACAGTGAGGAGCAGAGCGGCAGTCCAGCCAGGCAGGGGTTTGTAGAAAGCAGCATTTAGGTACTGGACACGAGTTCTCCTCTCTCCAGCATTCTGGTTGTTAGCAGTAGCAAGAAACCATTTAGAAAGGAGTCGAAGGCACCCCACATTGCCCTCCCTCTGGGAACACCAGTAGACATCATCATCAACTTCCCCACTGGGTGCTGGTCTCGAGGACTGGCTCCGCTTCATGACGACTGCGAGACAGAACCTGACAGACGCCTGTGTGATGAGAAACGAGTCAGAGTTGGAGGGAGGTCACCTTCCTTCTCTGCTGCCCAGTAGTAAATCTAGTTACCAGAGTCCCCGAATTCCAAATCCCTGTGCTTGGAAGCTGAGCTGGAGGCCACGGCACCAGTCACTGTATGGGGCTTCCCTGCCCCTGGGCTGGACACTTGGAGGCAACCTTATGGTAGGATCGATTGCTAGAGCTTGGGTCCGCCCCACAGAGCCCTGAAAACCATGTCCTCTGGTTGGTAGGTGAGCAGCATAGAAAACTAAGGAAACCAAAAGTGCACAGCCCTTTGTCTCCCCCGTCAGCACCAACCAAAGTGGCCAACTATCTGGACTTTGCACTGCCACCCACACAGAAGTAATATTAGAGAACTGTATTATCTTTTCCTTTATTTTCTTCTTTCTCCTCTTTCTTTTCTTATTCTATTGCTTTTCTATTCAGAACTGTAAAGTTAGCCTGTGGACTAACTAAGTTGTTTTAATTACTACATTTAAATTCTTTGTTTTAACTTTTCTTAGACATTCTCACTTTGTAGCCTGGGCTGACCTGAACTCACAGACTCACCTGCCTCTGCCCTGCGTTTTGTGATTAAAGGTGTGAGCCACCATGACTGGTACTCTCAACTCCTTAGCAATCCCCTTTCTCCATGTGTTTATACTTCCCTTAAATTAACTCTCCATTTAATGCTTAACTTACTGTACTGTATTTGTCCAGTTCTAGGTTCTGCTTGCCTTTGACTGTTTTTCAAACAGGTTTTCTCCATAGAGAGATGCCAGCTTGGGGTTGGTATTCTTCCTGCCTCTGTCTGAGGGTTGTTGCTGTCACACCTCGTATTTAATATTTAATTTCTGATTCTCTTCTTTCCTCCTTCTCCTTTATTCTTCCTTCTTTTCTACACAATTAGACCAGTTTTCTTTTTCTTCATTATCTTTGCCTCATCTACAATTCTTTATTTTCCTTATTCTCAGATGTTGTCTGTTTCATGTGGTTTTTATTTCTCACTTTCATTAGCTGGACCTACCCTATTTTTTCCTTTCTTTATTATTCCCCCTTCGTTTATTTTTCCCTCATTTTTTTCTGATTTGTAATATTACTTGCTAGCATTATTATTTTTGTTTACCCTTTCTTATTAAATATTTTCTTTGTATCACACTACCTTTTAATCCTCTCAATTGTAGTTATAGTGTTCATATATTTTTTAATATTTATTCATTTATTATGCATTCAAAATCTGCCTACATGTGTGCCTGCAGGCCAGAGAGGGCACCAGATCTCATTACAGATGGTTGTGAGCCACCATATGGTTGCTGGGAATTGAACTCAAGACCTTTGGAAGAGCAGGCAATGCTCTTAACCACTGAGCCATCTCTCCAGCCCCCTGTTCATATATTTTTAAATTACTGTTTTCAATAGTGAATTTTATTAGTACAGTTGCTTCATCAATTAGCCTTTTTCTCCCTTGGTGGTTTGGCACCCTGTGCCTTAAGTACATTGGGTCAGTGTTTGCCTACTGAACCATATTCTTAGCACAAGTGTGAGAGACTTCACATCAGCCCAGCCTCAGCCTAGTCACACCTGCGCACTGTAAGTGTCTCAGCTGAAAGGGTACAGGAGACTAAAACCTGCAGCCAGTGAGTTGGCCATAGATACACAAGACCCAGTGAAGGTGCATAAGACATCCGAAAAGACACAGCAAAATAGCTCCTCCAGAAGTTAGAAATTCCACAGTAATAGACTCTCATGATAGTCAGAGGGATGGCTTTTCATGTAAGGAATTCCAAAGAAAGACTTAAGAATGGACAGTGAAAGACTGAAGAGATGTCTCCACAGGTAAAAGCACCTGCTACTCTTGCAAAGGACTTGGTTCAGTTTCTATCACTCACTTTGGGAAGCTCACCTCTGCCTGTGACTCCAGGAGATTCACTGTCGCCTTCTGGCCTCCACAGGAGTGTGTGTGCGCGCTCACACACACAAACACGCACACTTTAAATGATAATAAAATCAAAGGCACGACTAAACACTAAAGGAACTCAAAGACTAGAAACTGCAGAATGAAAAAGATATCAGTGAAGAATATGAAAGAAGAACTTAATGAAACAAAATCAGATTGAAATTTTGGAGATGAAAATCTCAGTAATTCAAATGAAAACTGACTTGAAGCCTCACAGTAGGTAGCATCAAGTGAAAGGTATATAATATCAGAATTTGAAGACAAGGTAGACAAAGACATTTTAAAGTGCAGACAGAGCATACAGGACTTCTACAATACCAGTGAAAGATCAAAATTACAAATCCACCATGGAAGAAGGGGTAACTGCTATTCTTAATACAATATTTGTATTAATTCTTGTAAATTTTGCCAAAAAAGTATTTACAAACTCAAGTAATTCTCATCTAATTTTCAGAAGCATTCTTGACAGATAATAAATAGCAAAGGAAATCCTAGCACCCATATGTAATATAAAATACTCAGTGTGGCCAAAGCAATCCTGAGTAAAAGGAGCAACGCAGGAGTCATCCAATTCCTTACTTTATGTTATAAAATGTATTTACAGGAGTAAGAGGATTCTGGTGTAAAAGCGACACAGACCAATGGGATAGACTGAGGAGGTCTAGAAATTAGCCCAAGCAGTTACATCCTCCTGACTCTTGACATTGGAAAAACACAGCCTCTTTAATAAGTAGTGCAAAGAAAATTGGCTATCCACACACAGAATACTGAACTAGGTTAACTAAAAAATGAATCAACCAAGAAACTAATATTCAGAATATAAGTGACAAAAAATAAACAGTCTGGTCAATGGGTGAGCAGTGGAGGTCATCTGACACTTTTCAGATAAAAAAGTTACACAAATATAAATACATCAAAGGTTCAGACTAACCATCGGGAAATGCAGATCAAATCACAGTGAGATTCAGTTTCACCACAATCAGAATGTCTACCATCAAGAAAACAGCAAATAATCCTGGAAGCAATATAGAGGAAAGGAAGACGTATTCACTGCCGATGGGGCTGTAACTCAGTATGAAACGTCTCCTAAGATCAGAACTAACTTAAGACTCAGGTGTGCCGCACCTGTGCATGGGATCTACCTGGTAAACTGAAAAGCACAAAAAGGGACTTTTTATTCCTATAGCCTTAGAAAAAGGTTTGTATATTTTGTGGGGACTTGGAGTATGGCTCTTTTATGCTTGCAAAGTATTTGTTAGACCTTGTGTTGAATCACCAGTATCCCACATAAAAAAAATTAATAAACCTTTTTATATAATCTTTCTTGATAAAATTTCCTTATCAAATTATGATTTATATTTTCTCACCTCTTCTGGGTTAAAGTTTACCTTGTTGATGGTGCTCTTTATAGCACTCAAAGTTTTAGGAGTTTTGATGAGGTCCTGTTTATCCAGCTCTTGTTAGTATTGGTCCTTTGTTATGTGGCTTTGGGGGGATAGTTTGGGGGTCTTCTAGACAGGGTTTCTCTGTGTGTAGCTCTGGCTGTCCTGGAACTTGCTCTGTAGACCAGGCTGGCCTCGAACTCAGGGATCCACCTGCCTCTGCCTCCTGAGTGCTGGGATTAAAGGCTGAACCACCACCGTCCAGGTGTTCTGTATATTTTTAAAGCATAACTTTTACAACATTGCCTAATTCAAAGTCATGAAAATTTCTACCTTCATATTCTAATTTTTCTAAGAACTCTTATTATTTTAGCTTCCGTATTTAGAGCTCTAATCCATTTTGAGTTAACTTTTGTACATGCCTTGAAAATTGAGCTTCATGTTTTTACATGGAAATGTCTAGTTAGACCTGTGTGTAACCTACATGTGTGTTTGTTGTTTCTCCTTGTAGGCCCCGGCCCAGTGTTTACCAGGGCAGTGGCAGTGGGGGGTTCCCCAGGTAAATGTCAACCTACAGTGTCTGATTTAAAGTCTTTCTTTTCACTGTACTTCAGTTTAAAAACCTCTGAACACTAAAGTCATGATGAGTAGGCTTCTTCCCTTCCTCCTCTATTTCTAACCGTGTTTCCTGTAACTGCGGGGCTCTCTGTCCTCCTTTGTAACATGCAAGAAGTGACATTTCCTGCAATTGCCTCAGAACTCCCTCGTTTGTAAGATGAATGTAGTGATGGTAGAACCTTGTAAGTTTTCTTCCATGGTTTTTGGGACGATGAAATGAGATTATATTAGTGGGAAACATTTTATAAAGGTGTGATTATATATAAACAAAAAATAATTTTGTTACTTTCGTTACTGTTGGAAATGTTGGCATTTTTCTAGTGTCATTTCAGATTTTGCTTTAGTTTATCTCAAGTAAAATAAATAAAAACAGTTTGAATATTCTTTATCTAAAATTATTGAGGCCAAAACTGTTTTAATATTTTGGAATTTGGAAATATTTACATAGCTATTATTGGATGAACACTCCGAACCCAAAATCCTCTCTAAATTATGACACCTCAAAGGTGTTCAACCTATGCTCTGTTTTCCATTTTTTTTCTTAGAGATTCTGTACTACCAAAAAAAATATCTAGTGGCATTTTCTTACAGCTAAGTGAAGTCCAAAAATTGACAGTAGGCACTTAGACCAAATTAAATATGATAGGCCATATTACTGTAACTTTTAGTGACATTAGTATATCACAGTTATTATCTATTTGTATATGAGACTCTGAAACACAATAAACATTCAGTACTTGCCATTAATAAGGTTACTTAATAACACCTATATACCTGAAATGTATGAGAACTCTGATTTCCTAGTCTGTTTCTAAGATAATTCTATACTATCCTTGAAAAATAATTTTCAAAAAATATGCAACAAATTTTTTTTCATTTTAGGGTAAGTTGTTTTGGCTTAGCACACTGTTCGTATTTGAATAACGAGGACCGTTTTATGTTTTAGTCCCCTGCCTCTTCTGCTCCATTCTTATATCTGCAGCCGTCCGAGGTTATTTATCAGCCGGTAGAAATTGCACAAGATGGTGGCTGTGTCCCTCCTCCACTGTCTCTGATGGAAGCTTCCGTCCCAGAGGTACACACTCATCTTTTCCTTTGTTGGTAGTTTGCCCAGTGCTAGCAGTTGAACCTGGGGCCCCGCAGGCTCCAGGAAAGTGCGCTTAGCTGAGGCCATGCCCAGCTGTGTGGGAAGTGAGTGGTGCAGAGCCGCCTGTGTCGACGGTTAGTTCTTCGTATTCACTGAAGAGCATCGCGAGAACGGCTGACTTTGTCTCCCTGACTGACTTGTCTCTGCCACTGTTGTTCTGAGAGTGTCTTCATCTGAGTTGTTCAGTGATGCTCCTGAGCCACTTTCCCAGTGTCTTCTTATTTTCTTGTCAGTCAGTCTGTGTTGTTGCTAATAACTTGTCAGTTAAAAGCATACAATCTTTAAGCCAATGTAAGATTTAAAATTCTTTCTATAATAATATAAACTGTTTACTACATAGGTAATTGATAATGAATTTTCAAAATTTTGTTTTTGTTGGGTTTTTTGGGTTTGTTTGTTTTTTGGGGTTTTTTTTGCCTTCTGGTTTGCCTCGAGGTGGAAGTAAAGTAAGAATCCTTTCACAGTGGCTGTTACAGCAGAGCCTCCTGTGGGCTCTGCCCACACGCGGAGCGCCTGCCGTCAGGCCCCATCGGTGTCTGATTTGAGGGTTCCTAAAGCCGCTGCTGTGACTGTGTCGCTGCCCTCCATACTTCACGGTGCCTGTCTGCTTCCAGCAGAATGTAGACTCTGATATGTAATTTAATATATAGACTGTAATGGTTTATAGTTTGAGTTTTCACACAATTAAAATCTGCAGGGCTTTTGTTGTGAATGTAATGGTCAGGTTTCCTAAAAAATAAGAACAAGTATGTTAATACATTTAATCACTTATTTCCGTCACCATCAAACTTCTACCATGCCTTTACTACTTACTACAGATTTCCCCCATCTCAGTCTTAAAGAAAATCTGTGCTTTCTCTTCATACAAGTTGAAACCAATTCACAGAAACAAGCTTAGCCTCCAGCTCCGAACATACAAATTTAGATAGGTCCTAATCCAGCCTTGCAGTTTTTATATTTATTTGATAACTTGTTCTTGTCCAAGGTTGTTTCTATCTGTTGTGCTCTGGAAGCCTTCACTTCTTCCTCTCGGGTCCCAGGGCATCCTGTGGTCCATTCTTCCTCTTGGGTCTCAGCATCCTGTGGTCCATTCTTCTTCTCAGGTCTCAGGGCATCCTGTGGTCCATTCTTCCTTCCTGTATTGGAGTCAATCTCTCCATTGGTTCAGAGCTTCACCGCTTCACTGTGATTGTTAAGGGAATTGTTTAACTTTCACAGTCTTGTTCTCATAATGACCTTATTCATGGAAGTGAAGGCAACAAGAAACTATATTGCAGTTTTAAAGATTAAAGGTCTTTGATGCAAAATTCTTTGACTATCTGTAGTGCCTTTGAGAGTAACTATTATCTTTTTACATTCGTCCTCAGATCCCCTAATTCTCTTCTACCTTTCAAAACTAAGATTCTTGAAAAGATAGACTGTATTCAATATTTATAATATTCAGCGCCATTTTATTCCGCACTGTTGAAGCCTGCTTCACTATCTTGCTGCATACGCTGCCTCTAAGAAGGCTCCTTAATGGCATCCTAGTTACTGAACATTTTCCTCCCTTTTTAGTCTAATTAACCTTCCATGAACACCGTACAGATTCTGTGATCTGTCCGACGCCTGTTTACACAGCACTGCCCTCTCGTGGAATTCCTTTTCCAGCTTTTATTTTCCTTTGTAAGCTGATCTTTTGCTGCCCATCATTTCCTGTTTGGTTCTCCATTCTTTCACCCTGCATACTCAGTCTGATGTTATCCAGTTCATATCTCTAATGTCAGCATCAGGTTTGTGTTTTGAACTGCAGTACCCGAGATAATAGTCACTATCTACCTATAGCAGTTGAGCCCCTGGGAAGGACGAAGAGCAAATAGAGATGTGCTGTAAGCGTAAGCCAGATGTCAGGTTTTAAAGACACAGTGTTAAAAATGTTTACAAATTCAGTAATTGAATAATTAGTATATGTTAGATAATATTTTTAATCTGTTGATTTAAATAAACTTCATTATCCATTCATCTGTTGGTTGATAACCAGGCTGATTCATTTCTTTTCTACTCTGAGTAGACCAACAATAAAATGGGTATGCAATTATTTCTGTGTACGATATAGACTCTCTTGGCTACATGTCCGGGGTTGGCATACCTAAGTCTTATAGTAGTTCTGGTTTTGTTTTTTTGGGAAACCCATATACTGGTTTACACAGTGATAGTTTACACTGCCACCAACAGTAAAAGGTCCCTCTCTCCCCACACCCTTTCCTGCGCTGGTTACCATTTAAGTATACTTCTAAATTATCTGCCCTCTGTTTATTGCTCTCCTGCCTGATTTCCCGGTTAGTATTTAATGTTCTTTCCCGCCTGTCAGGCAACCTAAGTAGGTCTCCAGAGAGGTGTCTTACTTATGCTGTCCCTCACTGTGTCCCCAGGTCTTTAAATCAGACATCAGTGCCACTGGGAAATTTTTTATGACCATCCTCCCCAATTTTCGTAAACATAATTTTTGAGTACTTTTTGAGTGTTCATTATTCCCCGTGCATCTTCCACAGACTCACAGGCCATGGGATGGTTAGAGCGGTGTCTGTTTCTCAATCAGACTGGAAGTTCATTAAACATAGTGAATGGGTTTTGTATGTGCCAGAAGGCGTGTCACATAGAGAGTACTGAATGAATACTTTAATAGATGAAAGTAACACTTCTTTTTCTCTCTCCTCTCCTCGTATTTCCTCCCTGCCTCTTGTAACAGCCGTACTCTGACCATGGAGTCCAGGCAGCGTACCACCAGGTCTACGCTTCCAGCGCCATCATGTCTGCACCTGTGATGCAGCCTGAGCCGATTAAAGTAAGGAGTTCATTTTGAGTTTTTTTCTGTTTTTCTGCCATTATGCTCTGGGCATTTTTTATCCCAACTGTGATCTAAAAAATACAGAATTAGTGAATCATTTTATATATGGAGAAAATAAATTCTAAATTAACTATAATACCTATTAACTTATTTTGAAATGTTATAAAACATTCATGGTTAAAATGTTTTGTTTGTTGTGATATAGAGATACATAAACTTAAGTGTATCCTTTTAACTATTTTAAGTCTTTAATTATACTCACAGCACTGTGAAAACCTTTTCCGTTACCACCAATAGAAACTCTTCTCATTACACAGTCAGTCCTCCGTCCTTCCGTCCTCTCTCTAAAGTCCCTGGTAACCTTTAGTTTAGTTCTTATGTGTAATTTTCATGTTCTGGATACGGCACATGGGGTCATGTGTCAATAATACATAGTCTTTCTGGATACGGCACATGAGTCATGTGTCAGTAATACATAGTCTTGTAGGGAGATGGACCAGCTAGCCATCGACTTCATGTTTAAGAACATACTGTGTTCTCTGAATCAGAGCCAGGCCAAAGACTAGTACATCACTCAGTCACCGCTGACCCAGTTAGGGTCGTGTGTACATTTTCTGTATTTGGTTGTTTGCTATGAAGCAAGAGGTTCTCTTCCTTTGTCACTGGGTTTCTTAGTGAGGCTCAGGATCATCATGTCAGGGAAATGGACTTCATAGTGACAAATTTCAGATTGATGAACTGTTTTGGTGGTAATATGAATTTTTTGTCCATTTTATTTAGTGGAATAAGGAAGTATACTCTGCAGTAAATGAAAGAAAAGAGCTACTTTGTACTCATATTTATGACTTTGATCCATCAAGTGTGTTGACTGCCATATCAAAGAGCCTGTCTGTCCTTCATGCCCCAGCCCTGTCCCTACCCATAACCACCCGCGGCCATGACTGTACACTGCATCCCTTGGTTTCCTGTGCCATTAGACTGTGATGTGAAAGAAGTCCCCAGTCTGACTCACTTCTAGAGGCCTCATACTCAGTATTGTGAGAAAATATAAAACAGACTTCCCCATATGTTACCATCACCAGTTGCTGGTGTATGTGTGCACAATGAATTGGAGATATCTGTCCAGGAGGAAGGAAGTACAGGGGAATCAGAATGATTAAAATTATGGCTTAAATAATTCAGATGGGAGACAGACAGCTAGAGGTGCTAATATTCCCCTCAAGTATGATTTTCCCCTTGAAGAGTGTGCGTTTCTAAGCTGTCTTCAGTCTCTAAGTAGGTAATGTCAGAAACTGTAAATTTAGTTATACAAGAATTACTCTTGATGAACATTGAAAAATAAATAAATTTTCAGGGCCTCTGTATAAGAAGTTTAACGCTTCCTTTTGTGTCTCAGTACAAGGCAGAGTTTGCCATGCATTTCATACCCAGATTTTTCTTGCTGCCAGTCACTGATCTCATGGCCTCATACATTTTGGCAAGTGCTCTACCACCAAAGTACTATAGCCAGAAATTTTAGGTGGAGTTCCCTATGCATTAGATAATTAATTGTTCTTCAATGATTTGGTGGCTCTCAGTCGAAAACTGTGTCTGTCTCTGGACAGAAACTCCACCTCTGCTTCCATAGCTGTGTAGAACTTCGTGATTCTTTACTGTGCAGAACACAGAGATTGTCCGCTTTTGTTTGTACTACAGACATAGAAATCTCAACATGCAAATGGTACATTATTAGAAACATCTCTTTTATAAAACATACTAAACCTAATTGACAGTTAAACCTGAACAGTTGATCAGTGGGTACAGTGCTAATGTAATTTCTATTGCTGGGGTAAAATACCCTGGTAAAGAGGAACTTTAAAGAGAAATTGGTTTATTGGGCTGACAATTCCAGGTTACAGCCATCATTTCAGGAAAGTCAGTTCAGGAGCTTAAGCAGCTTATCAGATCATACCCACAGTTAGAAACAAAGAGAGAATAAGTACATCCTTGCGTGCCGTTTCCTTAGTAGCCCTGCCAAGGGAATGATGCTGCCCAGAGTAGGCTGGATAAGTTAGCAATCACAATTCCCCACAAACATGTCTGAAGGCAATGATCTAGGCAATCTCTGACTAAGAATCCCTTCTCAGCGACTTGAAGGTATGTGCAGCTGACATGTAAAACCATCAAGGTACTAAGTCATGCTTGGGAATGAAAGTTCTGACGGACCATTGTCCAGGGGTAACTGTGGGTCACAGAGGAATATGCTGTATGTTTTTAAGTTAGAGGAAACAACTTTATATACTTTTACCATTTTTAAAAAGGGGGGAAATGTGTCCTAGAGAGATAGGTAGGTGGTTAAGGGCACATACTGCTCTTACGGAGGATCCTATTTCCGTTTCCAATACCCACATTGGGTGACTCTTTGGGAAGAGTATAATTTGGAAGTAAATCAGAATAGGATTTGACTGCCACAAATGTTTCCCTCTGTCTTGGAATAGCCACACACCTGAAAAGTGCTGTACCACTGTGTTCTTCCATTTGTTTCTTTTACTACCTTTATTATTTCTCATAAGTCAGTTTAGAGGCTAAAGTTGGCTTATATTCAGCTGCTCCTGAGCATAGAGGAAGACAATAAAGTGTTGTGCTACAGAGACACAGACTGGAGGAAAACTGTCAACAGCTTCTTCTGAGAAAAGAGAGTATAAAAATCACATGTGCTTCCCCAAGGTCAAACAGTGTCCTTCAGTTATGCAGCATATGTTTACCCAAAACTATTCAGTAGTAACTATGTAGTTCAACATTAGAAATGCATGGATTCCCTGTGCATAGAAGTTCCTTGTATATGAAAATCTAAGACAGTAAAGAGGATCATAGTCTTAAGAAACCAGTATCCGAATTGTCAACTGGAAATAAATAAAAAATGTTTTTGTTGCTTACACATAACATAGTAAAGGCGGTGGTGCATAGCTGCTCCTCAACCTGCAAAGTTGTGTCCATCCCAAAATATCAGCAGCTATGAGCACTGCTCCTCTTGCAGAGAGCCTGAGTGTTCGGTTGCCAGCACTCACATGGTGGCTCACAACCATCTACAGCTCCAGTCCCGGGGAATCTGACACCTTTTCCTGACCACTGTGGGCATCGGGTGTACACATATATGCATACATACAGAACACTCATACACATAAAATAAAATACATAAGTATTTTGAAAAGTAACAACCAAATGTAAATCAAAATTATATTTAATTCATCTCACCTATAAAATCTCAGCTTAGCAACTCAGTACACTGTAGAGTGAGTGGTGTCCTTGTGAGATTGCATGGCCTACAGGTAGGTGTGCCCAGCATTAAGGATATCCTGATACATACTGAGTCCAGGAAAAATCAAAGTTTCAAAGTAGAACTATGATTTCTGCTGAATGAGTATGACCTTTGCACCATCTCAAATCAAAATAGCATGAGTTAAACCACTGTGACTTGGGTTCTATCAGTATATACCAGCTTCATTAGATGCTCTAAAATAACTAGGGAATTAAACGTTTAATTACATGCATAATTTGCTTGCTGCTGTTAATGTATAGTTTCTCATTTTGTTGTCTTTTCTCTTCCTAACATGTTGAAATTAAATCTAAGATGGCCTCCACCTGAACTTTAGATCCCTTGTTATATTTTGAATTATTAATGGTGATGAACTTAAAAAAAATAAGACCTATATACTGTCTTCAAACATCTTTGTAGCAAGAAGGAATGCCATATTGATTTTGATGGTATCAATACTTACATTTAATCTCTGAGTTCAAGGAAAATAACTACCAAGATTCTACATTGAGGGTTTTTTATATTATTTTTACATGTATGGGTGTTTTGCCTGCATGTATGTATGTGTACCAGTTGTGTGCCTAGTGCCTCAAAGGTCAGAAGAGGGCACTGGATTCCCGGATCAGATGGTTGTGAACCACCATGTGAACCACCATGTGAATCCAGGTCCTCTGCAAGAGCAACAAGTGGTCTTAACCACTGAGTCAACTTTCCAGTCTTGTACATTGAGTTCTCTTGTGGTTGAAAGACATACACAGTCCTCAAGAGCCTGCAGATAGAGTGCATTGCAGCTTACTTTGCTTCCCTTATAGTCTCTGTATGGTATAGTTTCAGACTTTTCATGTGACCAATGGTTGCAAAGAACAATTTGATTTTTAACAACAAAAAGAAAACTTTATTTTTGACTCGATATAAGTTTCATGGTTTCAGAGGCTTCTATCCATAATCTTGGCTCCACTGATTCTAAACCAATGCTGAGGAAGATATCACGGTGTACCAGAAGTGAAGAATACAAGCTGGAGAGCCCCAATACACACACACAGTGATCTTGCCCTTCTAACCTGAGCTTACCTACTAAGATTTCCAGAGCCTGCTAAAATAGTGCCACTGCTAAGAACCAAACTTTCTAGAATGCGCCTGTGTGGGACATTTCATATTCAAACTGTACGGTTTTGCCCCTGGACTCCAAAGATCACATCTGTTTGATAACACAAACAGTGTTTTTAGTCCATCTAAAACACAAAAGTGTGTTTAGTTCATCTCTAAGAATTCCCATAATCTTAACACTTGCAACATTGTCGAAAAGTTAGGTCAACAGTCTTCTTCTAATACTCAAGACAGGCTCTATGGATAGCAGTCAGTTGTTAGCATGCCTGCATGTGATGGACATGCCTAGCATCTAACAGCAGTGAACTCCACTTCTCTGTACTAGCTTCTTCTGGGCCATACTTTTTGTCAAAGTATGTCAAAGACCATGCGGTACTTTCCTTTGTGTCTAGGCTGTCTTTCTCAACATGATGAGTTCCAAGTTCCACACACATTTCTAGTAACAGGATTTTATTATTTTAAAAGTACTTTTAATACTTCCAAAAATGTTTTTGAGACAGTATCTAATTATTTAGCTCAAGCTAGTCTTGAGCCTGCAGTCCTACACACATTTTTATTGTTATCTACTTTATAACAGCACACTAAATCTTACTCC